TGAGATTTTGGAGGGGGAGAGATTAGGGAAGAGCAGAGAGAGAGGAAGAGAAAGAAACGTGTCTATTTTAAAAATAAGTTACAGTGGCAGAGCTGTAAGGTATATTCAGAGCTTAAAGTGAACCCGTTTCCTATTTGACACTGGGATATTCTTGAATTAATGAATGTTTTATATTCTCTTGAAAATCCTGCATGATGGTTATTTCTGTCTTTGTTTAGTGGATAAAAGTATTTTATTTTAAGTAATGGTGGTGAATCAGTGATTCTAAAACAAATATATATATATATTAAGCTCTCCCATGTCCAGGCATTGGAGGTTCTACACCAGACATTGGAGACATAACAGTCCCTAACCTCAAGTAATTGCATTCTGATTGTGGGAAACACAAATAAATAGATGATTACATGGCATAGTGAGTTGTTATGGTCTGAATGTCTCCTAAAATTCACCTGTTGGAACTTAATCCCCGTTGTGGTGGTATTAAATTATATGCGTTTTGGATAATGATTAAATCATGAAGGCTTCAGGTTTATGAAATGATTAGTACCTTATAAAAGGTTTGGAGGGAAGTAGCTCAAGTCCTTGTGTATAGTTTTTTTTTTTTTTGGGGGGGGTGGCCCATCTTCCTTTCTTTTACTATGTGAGAACACCTTGTCTGTCTCTTCTAGTGTATGTAGCAGTAGGTACAGTCTTAGAGCAGCCCTTAACCATATACCAGACCTGTAAGAATCTTGAAGAATCTTGATCTGGAGTTCCTAAGCCTTAGAACTGTGAGAAATAAACTTGTCTCATTTATAAATTACCCAATCTATGATATTTTGTTATGGAAGCACAAAACAGAGTAAAACATAAGAGATTTGGATAGAGTTATACCCTCCCCCCCCMMAAAAAAAAAGCCTAAAGGAGTACCATTTGATGATTGTGGGAGGAGAGAAAATACATATCTCCAAGGGAAGTCTTCATAGAAGAGTGATAGTTTGGAGCATAGGCTTTAGCATTAAAAAAGGCTCAGATTTGTTTTGCTGCTTACTAGCCATTGATTTCTAACAAGTTGTTGGTTTCTGTAGCTTAATATTTTTTACTTATAGATATTACATCTGTATTTATCATTTTGTTTTGAGTTTGGATAGTGAATGAGAACATGACCAAGCATTTAAATAGTTACTTTTGTGGATAGAGCTGCTGGAGGTTTGGCATGAAAGAGAAGGTTTTCATTTATTTTCAATTCCAGAGCTCTTCATATGCATGTTAAAAGGTAGGGGATACTTACCTTTTAAGTATGTTAACTATTTTCTGCAGTTAGCAAACATTGGGTACTTAATGCCTCTGGGTTATGATAAGTCTAAAAAATACACCACTATTTGTGTTGAAGTGTTTTGTATCTGAAATCTTTTGTGTATTTACCCTCATTTTAATTTGTCCCCACTATTGCTGTTTCTCTTTTCTACAGTAGTTTTTCCCAAAAGAATCATTTAAAAGTACTTAGATATTCAAATATTTAAATAAACATTCTAATATTTGGGAATTCTAATTATCAAATTCAAACTTTATAGGAATAACAACTTTTTAAAAATAAAGGTAAAAAACATGCTAGAGCACATTTTATGTTTATTTAATTTTAAAAACTTGTGACTTTTGCTCTTATTAATAGTTGGAAATGACAAATTTTAGAGTCTGCATGTGTTCTATTAAGAGTTTTCAGTATTTCATGTTTTATGTAAATGGGACTTCTTAAAATTAATTGATATATTTTTCATACTGGCATTTGCTATGAAATATTTTTTCTTACAGTATTATATTTTTTCTAAAAAAGCAGCAAATACTGGAACTGTCTCCTAGCACCAAAAGATCTTAGATTACCTCTTTTTCTACAATAAAGCAAACAAGAATTACTTGTAAATAGTATACCTTGTTTTGTAGTCTTATGCTTTGTTTGCAAATATGATTCTATCACTATTTTCCCTTTCATTTTAATTCAATTATTTCCTTTCCAGAATGTCTCAAGTCTCTATGCATTTGTAATTGCTTCTGAGTTTTCAAGAGAAAGCAGGTTTTTCTCTTCAGCTAGCACAGCTTGTCAGCTCGATTGGTTGTTTTTGTGCTAATATTTTTCTTTTTATGATGGGGTATTATTTTTTCTTCAACCCAAATATATTTAAAAATATAGAACTCTCAGTCTATTTCATATTACTGCCAAAGTATTATCCTTTCTTTAATATATGCCAGATAAATTGCTATGCAGCCTTTGAAAATTACTTCATCTTTAGAAAAACGTTTTCACCTTTATCTCTTCATGTTTGGAGTAGAGAGTAGTGGGATTAGATTATATGGTTTCTGAGGTTCTTTGCAGTGATTTATACAATTTTATTTCAAAATAATGGAGATCAGAGTATACTGTGCTTTTAACCTAGTGATGGTTAGGGAGTCTTAGAAATGGTCATAAATTAATGGCATGATTAGTAAGGATCGTCACAGTTTTGTATGTACTAACTCAAAAATGAATCAAAGTTATGCTATAATGATTTTGACAATTCACTTTTTATTAACCAAAGAAGACAACATTAGATAAAATTCTCTTTTGCAACTGACAGGAATTCTACTCAACTAATTGAAGCTTAACAGGGTATGTGGGGTATGTAGAGTGGTGAGATAATGGGGGATTTTCATGGCTTATGTAATGAAGAGTGGTAAGAGGTAAAGCAGACCTTGCAGGCCACTAGAACTAGATATTAGGCGTTAAGAAGAGGATTGTATTCTATCTCTTTTCTTGCATTTGATTTTTATTTTCTCCTTTTGCCAGTGAGTTTTCTCTGTGAGTCAAGGTATGTGATCACCAGTGATTCTAGGCATACCTCCCAGCTTAGTCTTGTGATTAGTGGTCTAACCAGCTAGCTGTTTATAAAAGGTAATATCAGAGAATGACTTTTGATTGACCTTCCCCTGTAACCAGGGGATAGGTATTATTGCCAAAAAGGAGTGATTAGACACCAAGCAAAGATTGCTTAGTAGGCAAACAGATAATGGCCATTATTGGTATATAAAGGGATCAATTTGAGCTTACTCAAAAGTACGTAAAAATTTCCATGGGTAATAATTTATTATATAAAAGAATTATCTTCATATCATATGCTCTTGTCTTTTACCTAACTCATGTTATCAAAGCCACACTTTTTTTTCACATAGGTTAATGTCAGTAGACAGATCCATTTTAGTTTGGATAGTTCTCTTTATGTGCCATAGTGCTATATTATGGCAATTTTAAACTTAATCCATTCTGTTCCAAAAGAAGGACTTTGCTTTGGATTCACCTAGAATTACAAATTGGCTTCGATGTTTTAAATAACGGATGTAGTTAATTTCAGCCAACATTTGTTGAGTTCCTACTGTGCTCTGGGCACTGGGATTACAAAGAATAAAAACAGATCCCCCAACTCGAACTTGGAAATAAATATAATTAGAAAATTTCCCACTTTATGCTGATATTAAGTACTGTGTTTTCACCTTAATAGTTACTTACTTTGTTTTACATTTAAAGTTTTACTTGAATGTAATTTGCTAGAGAAAGATAATTATAAGTAAACTTTGATGAGTTAAAAATTATATACATTCATGAAGTCAGCACCCCAGTGACTCAATGGTAACTACAATAATCTATAACTAAATGCATAATAGTGAGAATATTGGAAAAGGATATTTTTTTCTTCTTCAAGGAAATTTTGCTAATTGTTGTTGAAACTATTGTTTCTTCCAGTGAAGAATGGTTTCTCTGATATTCTAACTGAATGCTAGAAATACTGCTGTATTGAAAGTGAAAATATTTTCTGGTACTAATTTTTATAGTCAATTATTTGAGTTTTAAAAATGCTGGGGGATAGCCTGCTATTCTAAATTATTTTACCAAGTAAAACCTCAAGTTTCAAAGAAAATATAGTAGAATTAAATATTATTTATTAATATTTCTTTGTATTTCTTATGATGCCAAGACTTATTTTTATTGTGGATTCATGTACTTGTCCTAATACTTGCCAAGTCTCCTTCTGTTGAGTACAACTAGAGTAAAATCTCCATGAATTAATAGTCATTATGAAATTTATATTTGCAGCTTTTTGTAAAGAAAAATGTTATGAAAAATTAGTGTGAACATGATTGAAGCTATTACACTAAAGACAGACATCTTTTAAAGTATCTTAAGCATCTATTCCTAAGTATATAATTGATATACTTTAACACTTAACATATATCCTTGTACATATTATATGCTCATTAATTAGTTGAGATTTGTTATTTAGTTTTTAAGATGTTCACATCCATTCATAATTCAACTAAAACAAATCTCATCTTTATCAATGTGATTTTTTCCTGAATATTTTAAAAGCATTTTGAAGTGTTTATATTTTTTAGTGCATTACAGAGTAGTACTGTTTATGTCTTTTAAACATGAGATGATGTATCATTTGTTCATTTTGAGACTTTTGGTGGGGAGGGGGATAGTTGGGTGTTGTGGTGCACGCCTGTAATCCCAGTGGCTTGGGAGGCTGAGACAGGAGGATCATAAATTCAAAGCCAGCCTTAGCAAAAGCGTAGTGCTAAGCAACTCAGTGAGACCCTATCTCTAAATAAAATACAAGATAGGGCTGGGGATGTGGCTTAATGATTGAGTACCCCTGAGTTCAATCCCCAGTACCCACTCTCCGCCCCCTCCCCCATGATTGGTTTTATTTTAAAACAGGTAATGACATTTTTGAGAGTTTTAAAATTGTCAGCAATTAAAAATTATTACAGTAATTTTTGTGCTATTTAAATTCTGTTTTCCACCATAGATCGTTATTGCTATACCTCATGACTAATAACATAAAAAAAAAAGTTTGTTTCTTTTCTTAATTTTTCAAACTCTTAGGGTTTGGTGGAGTGATTGATAGAGAGACAAGATTTCTTTGTAATACAGTGTTTATTGCATAAAGGAACTTTGATGTCATATGTAAATCTTTATTCTTTTAAAGGAAGGTGCATCTGCCCGTAAGACTCAGACTCCTGCAGCACAGCCAGTACCAAGACCAGGTAAAAATATGAATCTGGTTTTTGTTATTTTCCAGAAACTGAAATTTTACTGAGGATACATTGGAAGTTCTTTATTCTTCAAGTTGAACATCAGTATTACTGAAGCAGACCTCAAAACTATGATCGTATTCATACCGTGCTTGCCACACTTTGGTCAGAATCATCAATAAATCTTTCTGTTTTTAGCATAGAAACATAAAAAAGCTAAAATAAAAAGTGTGCTAAATTGTTTATTTCCCAGACTAACTTATAATATTCTTTACTGAAGGGATATTTTCCCCAATTTGATTTAAAGGTCATTGATAAAATAGTATGTAACACTAAAATAGGTTTTATAGCACCATACTTTAAAGTTATACATTAAATATTTACTTGAATAAATAGGTATATTTGCAAAGAGTTTAAAATCACTTTAAAAATGAGTTTAAAATTAAGACTGCATTCCTTGTCTCACCAATTCCCTATCCTAGTATGTTTTAGTATGTGCAAATGTGATTTTTGTTTTTATACAGAAGCACAACATCATAATTTTACTAGACTGGTGTGCAGCTTTGATGTATAGAATTTCAGACATCTCTATTATTGAGCATTTTAAAAATATATGTTAAGATAGCAATGAAGTTGTTTTTCCTTCTTTTCCTACTACCCAAAAAGAATAATCTTTAAAAACGCATCTAGATACCAATATTGTATCATTATAAGTGTTTTAGTTTTTATATTTAACCTAACATCAATGATAGCCTACACTCCTTCCTTTTTAACCTCAGTGTGTCGAAAGTCACAAGAAAATGGAAAGTGTTGGAAAAGCATAGGCAAGAATTTTACTAGGTGATATTTCTCATAAGTTTGGCAGTGTTAACAGTACAGACTTGGGTATCTTTTTATTTGTTGTACTTTCCCACATGAGCATTTTCTAAAATTATGAACATTATAAATATTAATTATTTCTGGATGTGCTTCAGAAGTATGGTGTTAAGATTACATGAGACTTATATTGAAATGGTTTTGCAGGCAATTTCACTGTGTTCTTCATCCATACTCTTCTTCGATGACTAGACTCTGTGTGTATCTTTCTCTGTCTCTCTGTCTCTCTGTCTCTCTCTCTCTCTCTCTCTCTCTCTCTCTCTCTCTCTCTCTCCTCTCACTTTCACAGTGGGTTTGCTTGAAGTCTTTGTCATACCTTTTATTTTGAGGAGAGAAGGAGTGCTCCATCAGTTGAGTTTAATTTATTTCAGATGACAGAACTGTAGATGGCCACACCAAAAGCCATTGTGATATGTATAAGGAAGAACAGTTAAATTCAATAGATGATGTTAAAATGCCTTGCATGTATTAGGCCCTTTGCCAGAAACTAGGGTGAGGCTAAAGGAGCTCTTTTCAGGAAGGAAGAAAAAGTGAAGGAAATAGGGATGAAGGAGTGGAAAACTACCTATTAAGTATAGAAACATTGTAGAAGCAGTTGAATCATAGACACAGAATTGTTGTTCTTTGGAAGTGTGGGATAGGGGTTGTGGTTTGTCATTCTAAGGAAGATCACATGAGAAATTCAGAAATTATGTAAAAGGTGAAGAGGAATCTTACCTAGATTGGTGTTCCGTGGTTTAAAATTGTCTCCAGTTGTGGAATGTTGTTTTTCATGTAATACAATCTACTTGGGCAGGCTGAAGTAGGAGAATTGCAAGTTTCAGGCTAGCCTCAACAATTTAAGACCCTATCTCAAAATAGAATTTAAAGAGGGGCTGGAGATAATGGTTTAGTGGTGGAGTGCCCCTGGGTTCAATCCCTAGCACTATCAGAATAAATAAATAAAACTTTTCTACTTCACATTTTTCTCAAAATCAACATACATAAGAGAGGAGTAGGGGAAGACATTCTGTTCAAAAGTGTGAGATAAAATGGAAGTTCTTGGGGCTAGGTTCTAATACGATCTTGAGGAAAATAAGAGGTTCTAAGTCTTTTCAACTCTGAATATTCATCATACTTTTTCAATTGCTCTACCAAAGTGCAGTGGAGAGTAAATTGATGGAACTTAATCTGAACTATAAGTCTCTTAATATTTCAGGTATTCCTATGCCTATCCATGTAAACTCTCTTCTTCCTTCCATTTACTCTTGATGACACTATCTGTCCACAATACTTATCTATCATTCTAAAAGAAATTAGTCTTTAGCATTCATTTGTCAATAAGAAATTATTTGAATGGATGTTATCAATTTGAAATCTTTAATTGTCCTTATTATTTTTGAGAATATTTTTGTTTTGATGCAGAGATTTTAAGTGCATTTGCTTATGGAGTGCTGCCCAGTTTTGAAGGGATATTGGTTGATTTGACATGTTCACTTATATCACTAGTTTTTAATCGTAAAACAAACAAACATGAATACCCAAAACACACCTGACAGTATAATTTGCAGTAGATGAGGGATTATAGAATTATGTTATTTTGTTAGGTTGGATCTTTGCGAAATTGGGGACTGAACCACCAATTCTTTGGTTGAATGAAGCACCTCAAGCATGGAGTTCCATTTTTGAACATTTAAAAATTTTACTTTATTTTTCTGTCAAATGTTTACTTAATTCTGTCATTCCACTTAATACTGTTCCAGGCAAAGCCTACAGGCAAATAAAACATTTTAAACACTTTACAATGAAAATATTATTAAAACTCCCAAACTTAAATTCCTTTAGGAAGTATAATGACCAATGAATAATGATTAATCCAATTTTTCCAATGGATTAAAAGTTGTAAGTCTTGAATAGGCCATAGTACTCTATTATTTCCTTTTTATAGCTTGATTAAATCTCTTGAACATATTTTTCTTTGTTTCCTAATACGTGCACACCCATACTTCTAGCTTTCTTTATTTCTAATTCTTAGATGTTCTGAGGTGAGTAGATCTCCTGCATATTTTATATAAATTTTGACCTAGTCATCCAGTTATAATCCAGGTACTGGTTGAAGTACTTCTGTACTCATTGTATACTTTTAAATCTATGTGCTGATGATTTCCAAATTTGTGTCTTCAATTAGACATCTCTTCTTATCTCTGGTATCTTATATTAACTCTCTGTTCTATATTCGGTATACCATAGGCATTTAAAACTAGATTTTCCTTGATATTTTCCCCTAAGATCTCTTACTCTACACTTTCCTGCTTCTTCATAAATTAGTGGCACAACCACCAACTCTTGTTTTTTAAGACAAAAACTTAGATGTTATTATTTATTGTTCATATTTCCTATCCCTTTCCTAATCTGTCAGTGGGATTCTTGTCAGATTTATCTACAAATATCGACAGATCCTTACTTCATTTGTTTTTCTTTACCACTACTCAAGATCATCATTTCTCTAGACCAGTGTATGTTAAACTGTCCAGTTTTAGTTTATAACCTTTTTTTTTTGGCCCTCAAAAGATGCATATAAAAGTTGTGAGGGTAATATACTGTCATAGTATCTGAATGAATGTTCATCTTTTTAGAAATCCATTGTTGCTGCCTTTTTTTTCTTTCATTTCATCTTTTCTTAAACCACATAAACTTTGAGGAACACCCAAATTGTAGATGATTGTAATAGTCCTAACTGAGCTTTCTTCTTTCACACTTGTCCCCCTCTGATCCCTTGTCTTTTTTTTTTCTTTTTGAAGAAGCTGTGACATGAAAATCAGATCTCATCATTTTCTATCTTAAAAGTTATAGGCAATGGCACTTTAAATACAAAATTATGCCTGGCATGGTGGCTGCTTGTGGGAGGTGGGAGGATCAAACTACCCAGGAGTTTGAGACCAGCCTGGACAGAATAGTGAGACCCCATCTCAAAAAATGAGAAACAAAATAAATAGAAATTTGATATTTACAAAAGTCACTACGTGAATTGGTTCCTCTATTGATTTTTAGCTTCAACTTTTGCTATGCTTTCTTCTTTGTGGTCTATACATTTGCCTTGTTTCATTTCCAAAAGCCCACCAGCTTCTTCCTGCCTTTGACATTTAGCAGACAGTTCTTTGCAAGTTGGCTCCTTTTTATCCTTCAAATTTCATTTGAAATTTAGTTGCTTTCTTTTTKGGGGGAGTGGGAGGTGGGATTGAACACAGGGGCACTCAATCACTGAGCCACACCCCCAGCCCTATTTTGTATTTTTGATTTAGAGACAAGTTCTCACTGAGTTGCTTAGCACCTCTCTTGTGCTGAGTCTGGCTTTGAACTTGTGATCTTCCTACCTCAGCCTCCCCAACTGCTGGAATTATAGCCACACACTCTGCTAGTTGCTTTCGCCCTCATTCCTTTCCTCCCTTCCTTCCATGAAGATTGAACTCAGGGTGCTTAATCATTGAGCCACATTCCCAGTCCTTTTTTATATTTTATTTAGGGATAGGGTCTCACTGAGTTGCTAAGTGCCTCACTAAAATAGGTTTGAACTCACGATCCTCGTGCCTCAGCCTCCCATGCCACTGGGATTACAGGCATTTTCCACTGTGCCCAGCTAGTTGCTTTCTTTAAGAGGCTTTTTGTAAAAGCATTCTGTAGGACACTTCTGCCAGTGTCTTGTGTTTTGTTCCTTAATGTTCCTTTTGTGTTCGAATTTGTATGATTGTGCTCTGGCTCCCCTGTTCTCCTGAAAAGCTTTTTCAGGGCAAGGTTTATTTTATTTCTCTTTTATTTTCCATTTAATAATAACTTAGTATGAGTACCTTTTACCTAGTCTCTGAATAAATTTTTAAGTGAAGAATGTCATAATTTGAAATCAAACAAAGCAACAATGTTAATTTTTCTTGGTTTGCAAATTGTTAGTCATCACAGTTGCCTAAGTACTGGAGTAGAAGCAGAAGCAATTATCACTAGCTTTAGCTGCAGAGTTCAATAAATGGTGAATATATACTATGATCCAACTAAGGACTTACCATGTGTTATTGTTTTTAAAATTCTATTCCGGTTGTAGAACTGTAGCAGTCTGTTTTTACAGTTGAGGACACTGAGGCTCAGCATAGTTAATCAACAGGTTA